TTGTGTGTATATATATATATATATATATATATATATATATATATATATATAATGTGCATGTGTGTTTGTACTCGTGTATTATACCAGGTCATTCGAAGAATATAGCTTTAATGGCTATGTTCTGATAAAAATGTTTCATGTACATACAGGAAGCAGTAAATGTAGGGAAAGAAAATACTGATGAGTACTGGGATGTTGTTCATAGACAAGGTGACACTCAGTCATGCATACGCTAGTGTAAAATTCCCGCCACCCATGGTATATGAATTAGTTTTAAGTGTATGGAAAAACACATCACGTGTATGTAGTGACATTAAATGTCGTTTGTGTTATTTACAGTAAAAGATCGCTTTGCAGTCTTCTGCCATTGCTTTTGATACCAAAGCCAACACTCTGAAATGTCTACCACTGTTGTTGCTGCTGATTCAAACCAGTTAAATTTTAATCCGTCATGGTCAGTCATTCCATACATTGAAGTGTACTTTAGCCTCAGCATGTTTTTAATTTTGTACATATGAAATATAAGACAGTGTATCTGCATCAAATCATCGATATCACATAGTTTTCAAAGATATAATGTCCAGCAAAAAATGCACAAAATGAGTATATTATTACATTTTTTTTTTGTGTTTTAGGATGCGTCCCGTTTCTATGCCGATATCGGCTGGAGGCGGAAATAGTAGCGGTAATCATACGGAACCACAATTTGCTGCTGAAAATGTGTGTTGTAAAGTTTCAAAATTTGTTAAAATTAAGATCGCTTATGTTCAGTAAACAATTCTGTCATTTCATTTTATGGCCAGGTTGGTTCCAAGTAGTTATAAACTGACCTTCTCTTGAAGGACTCATGGCACTAATCACTGTTCCTGCTTTTAAAAGTCACTGATACTTTTAACTGAATTCAAGCCGGCAAAGCCTGATAATTTTATGTTAGCACTAGAAATAATTAGGAGGGGTTTTTTAGTTAACTCTCTTATTTCCAGCATATTGAAAGTTTTATCAGCGTTTAGATAAATAGGATAATTTAATAAGGACGTTGCTGGAATCCTTGAGAAATTTGTATATGATTATGTTAAGCGTGCATTCTTACTATGATCTGTAAATACTAAATAACTAATCAGTCTTAATTGTTACATTTCCATACTAAGACAAAACTGAATTTTCTGTTCTGCACCAGCTTTTTTAATTCAAATATTTGGCAGAAATTTAATTTGATTGGAAGTTATCTCATTTTTTCTAGCCGACAATCGATTATCCTATAGCGGATCCAATTTTCGTAAAAAATCGGTATGGCCGGGAGGATCTGCTCGCTCTTCTTTCCAGAGATGTGCATCCACCAGATGGTCTTGACAAATGCCATTTTTATGTACCCGCTGCTCAGAAACCAATCGTATTAACGCCACTTTCTGATACCGAAACGGTATATTCATGCTATCCATTTTCTGAAGAAAGTAGATGAAACCTTAATTTTCAAATGTTGAAATATTACAGTGATACTGCTTCTTCATGGTTGAAGGGTAAATTTCTAGAAAGATTAGGGTATAATTTTTCTATGAAGTAAAAAGACATTGTAGCGGCTGCAACACAACATAAATTCGAGCAAAGCAATGAGTTTACTGAGCCATGCGGATCGAGCAACGATAGCTTCTGGTGGCATGATCGGCGGCCCAAGTATTCCATTGCAGTTAAAAGCAAGCCAAGAAAACCGTTCTTTTTCACCCTCGTGGATACCTGCGTCTGGTATACAAGCTTTTTTCGTTTTTGTGTCTTTTTTTTAATTCAGTTTTTCTTGCCAAGTTGAAAATTGATATTCCAAAATCCTGATGAGATTTTGTAGAATTTGGTTTTTTATTGAAGTTTTTGTTTTCTTGTGGAAATGATATCTGCTAGACGAAATAATTCCTTCATTGAGCCGATAAGTGATTGTTTCCTTGTTTTTTTTAAAGTAAAATCCTGCTGTAAAAAGACTATCTGTTGCAATTAGTTGTTTACAGGTGGTGGAAATAATGGTTTTGGAAGGGGAAGCTTACAGTTCGGCCGTGCTACTTTTGGAGGTTCATATCGTGGACGTGGTATGACGCAAACAAGTTCTACCAATCCATCCGAATCAGTAGTTATTGGGCGATTGAGTTAGTTTTCTGAAGCTTGGTAATACACGAATTTCTGTTTATTAGATTGTACTAATCCTTTAATTAATACCGATGTAACATGTAGTATTTATGCAGGCACTAATCGGAGTAATCGTGGCAATATACCCAGTTTTGGCCGAGCAAGTAGTACCACGCAACCATTTAATGCTCGGGCCCAAGGTTTGTACGACCCGCGTGATCCACGTGATCGTCCGAGGCAACGTCTTCGTAGCACATCTGATGATGCATCAAATCCACCGTTTGGTAGTGCCGTTGACGATTCTTCTGCGCCTCTGAATAGCGGTTGGACCCAAGTAGGACGAGCTGCAGCACCATGGAGTAAGAGAATACATGTCAGTGTGAATGCAGTACAACAACCAGCAGCGAGCGGCGAATTTACTAATCGGTCACAACTACCTGAATGGATGAGTGATGATCAAGAAAGGTTATTTCATTTTTTTAATGATTTGTTACAGTTAATAATGACTGCATCGCTCTTGATTATGGTTTAGTTTTTTATTTGTTTCAGAGGAAACAGTTCAAATCTGGAAGAAACTGGTTCATTTGATGATGGGGGCCAGTTTCAAGCAGCAACAATCGCTCAACGAATGACGACTTCTTTGGATTTGATACAAAATCCTGCATCTAATATACCAGGAGATATCCCGGAAAGGCCCGAAAGGTTTGTTAATCATTTGTTTCTTAATGAAAATTTGCTTTGTCACTTCTTTTATCTTCGCGCATTCTCTTCAAACCACTCTTTTAAGTTATTCGATGTATTATTATTATTTTTATCTTTTCTAGGGTGTGAAAAATTTACAAAAATGAAAAAAATGAATTTACAAAACGATGTTACTTACTTAATTTTGAGAAAAATTAGTATGTTCCAGTTAGGAGTTTATGCATTTTCAGACAAAGGTGGCATCAGGAAGAGGAAAAACCAGTTATACCAACATCTGTACCTGTTACTGTTCCAAATGCTTGGTCCATGGTATCCAACAATTTGGAGCAGCCACAATCAAACAGAATTACAAAACAGTTTGTCGAGGTTAATCTTGTGAAATTAATATATAATGCCAAATCGTTTAGCGAAAAATATAAGACAGTGACAACCAGTCATATCTTTCATTATATCACTAAAGACTGTTGTAGGGTTCTTGATTTGGTATTCTGTAACTGGTGCTTTCTTTGTGCGTTATATTTTCTTTAGGCTTTAAAGGTTTTAAAAAAGAAGGCGGTGTTAGTTCTCCATCATCTCAAGTCCGCTGAATTAGTGGGGAAGCTTATAAGTGACATTTAAAACCCTGTAGAACTTGGTTTCCCGGTCCCCAAGAATATTTAAATGAAAGAGTGAGTCGAGGAAAAAAATTATCGGAAGGTTCTGCTAATTCACTGAATTCTGATACCATCTCTCAATGTCATGTCACATTGAATGCCTATGCGTAGACTTCACAAACAGAGTTCACAGCATTTCGAACTGTCCCACTTAGTTTAATTGCTCTGTTGATTTGTTTGGATGCGATTGG